TGAAATTACCTGTTGTAACTAAAAGCAAACCCTGTTGTTTTTTATTGAGCGATTGAAATCACAACCACAACTTAAAACGCGCATTTTAATTACGATATAATGCGCAAAAATCTTTACGTAGTGCGCGAATAAATTGCTACAAAAAACTTCAAAAGGGAAATCCGGTTTATCTATAAGACATGCTTCGACATCTTGAAACCAGACTTGGAAAAATTTAGGTATTTAACTTTTTATTGTTTTTCTTTTTGACGATCGATACGATTAACTTAATCAAAAAAAAATAAAAGATACTCTTAACTATTTTGGATATCAGCAAATAAATTTGAATCGTAGTTTCTAATGTGCGTATACTCGTCCATAAAAACAAAACGTTGATACGACGGTTGTTTTTTAAAATAACGCTTTTTAGCTCGTTGTGCAATAACGAAGGAAAAAAAGTTTCTAATAATAGGGTTAGGTACAGTTGTAATAGTTTAGTGATTTCTGTAACGGGAGTTTTTCTTCGTAATATCGAAAAAGTAGACAGATCTGAAACTTGTGCAACTACTAAGTCTTGCTCAGCTTTAGTAAACAAATCGTTTTTTACCGACAAATACGCTTCAAGACAATAATGTCTCGTTTGACGTGAAATAGATAGAAACCAGTCTTTTTTATAGAGCGAGAAACAGTAAGTTCTGAGTCTTTTTCTCGATATTGAAGAAAACTCTAACTCGCTTAGGTATTTTAATTTATCCATCTCTATCAAGTCTTCTTTTGTATGGAGTAATTGTTTTAGTTTGGAATTCTCTTTTTCTGCCGATTGCAACGTAGCTATCATTTTTGTAAGCACCACGGCCAAAGTATTTTGTTGCTTTTCAAGTAGTTCCATCCTGTGGTTCATACCTACGACGGGTGGTAGACTGTCGTTTATGAGAGCGTTTTGTTTTTGTAAATTATTCTTGATATCAGCTAATAAGCTTTCCATCTCAAAATAGCTGCTAGTGGAATTTATAAAGTTTGTATTTTTGTTAGTGTGATACGTATCGACGAGTTCCGAACCGTTTTTATTTGTCTCCGACCCATACTTGTTTTTGGTGAAAAAACGATTCGAATTCGAGTTTAACTGGAAATTGCTGTAATAAAATTTGGCATTTTCTGAATCGTCAAAGTTCTCGTTAGTTAACAAGTTTGTTGTGCACATTTTTTGCTGCGTCTGCAAGTTTAAGTTGCGGTCGGTGGTGGTTTTGTTTTCCAGATTTTGAACTTGAGTAGATCCAAAAACCTTAACCTGAGACAGTGTGCAAATGTTGATATCGTGGATCTCATAGTACGATAGAACTTCAAACTTGATGTACGACGTCCAGCAAGCTTCCTTAGGTAAATTTTCACACGCAGGTTTTAAGTAGAATAGGTTGGATTCTTTTAAGGCTGACAGCTCTACTGTAGCTATGTGTTTCCATTCTTCAGTGGGGTACCTCATAGAAGAGTACACTGTTATCCGATCAAAATAACTGGAAAAAGGTTCGGAAGAAGTAAACTCAATGGCGTGCAAAGAGATCGGCTCATGAAACCCAATAATAAACATAGTTGGCGAAGTACAGAGTGTTTTAATGTATGAATCTTTGGGATTATGTAAAAGCGCGTTGGGATTGCTTACTTCTGAAGAAAAAGCCACTACACGAGCCCCGGCTGACGCACTGGCGAAATTATAATTGAAGTTATGCAGCTTAGGAGATGTAGGCTTTAAAATTAGCATATCGGAAGTTTCGGATAAAATAAATTTGCGATGGGTTATGGTGTCTTTAGGCGTTAGTTTTATTGTTGAAGAAACGCATTTTAACAATATGTAAAGTATATTGGTAAGAATCAGTTTGAGAAACCTTTTAGCGCTGAGAACAAACCTTTTGATCTCGCGATAAAGGGAATATAATTGTGAAGTGTCCGTCTGATCAAAAAGTATATCAGGAAAGTAACTAATTTTATTATCTCGTTCACGTATTTTTATGGCTTTTTTTACACTGGGTTTAAAAACTGCATTTTCAATCGTTCGTACCGCTGACTCATGTGGAAGCGTTTTAAAAGCGTCAGACTTGTCCAAGCCATAAGCTGTGTTTGAAAAAACAACGTTTAAACTGTCGTTAAAAGATTTTTTTTTCGAAAAATTAGGTTTTGCGGTTTCTCTGAGTTTAGATTGAACTTCAGTATGTCCAGCGTCTTTGTCGATTGGGTCTGAATTCGGCCGCGACAAAAAATTACTTAAAAAAGCATTTACCTCAACATCAACAAAGCATGTCTCAAATAAACGCGCGAAGTAGAGATCTAGCGGCGTTAGTGAAAAACACTGTTTGTCGGTTTGCGTTAAGGGTGGCGTTACGGAAAAAAAAATATCGCAATCGTGCGACTGGTTGGTTTCCGTATCTGAAGCAATAATTCTATTTATATATGCTAAAGATATTACAGATGACGATAAAATACTCTTTCTAAAGAAATTGAAAAACATATCATTTTTTTCAATATGAGATTACTTGCTATAGAATATTTATTCTCTAATTAACAAACACGTGCGTTATTACAAATTTAAATTAACTGCGTTATATGAAATATGTACAACTCGAGGGTAATCATTGCATTTACAATTGTGACTTAATGCTAAACGACCCCGTACAACTAGTAACAGCCAGCGGAGCAGCTTCAACCTTCGCTCAAGAATATTCTCAACTCAGAAGTCAATCAAATTTAAACGAATCTGCTGCGTTTAAAAAAAATAATGTCGAACATGGTTTGCTGACTCAGAACAAGTTTAAAACAGAGAAGAACGCGGTCAAACTAGCATTCAGACGCTTATCGTGTCTGCAAACTGACGACTCAGACGAGAATTCACCTCAAATGAACAGCAAAAACATTGAACACGCTTATCCCAACTTCCAGAAATCTGTGCAAAACATTATCAAGAATGATCTGCGCTGTAAACCTCTGAGCAACTGGTCGGAAATAGATTTTGCGTCGACTACTTGTTTAGCTGGTCACGCTGAGCTTGATTCGGTTGCGTCCAACACCTTTTTTAATATGAACGAAACTTACATTAACAATCACACAAATCAGAAAAGTGAGTCGGAAACTTCTTTCGTTACCCCCAAATTAGTGAAACAAAAACAAGATTCCGCCGCAAACTTATTGTCTCAACCACCATTGACGGTGTATTATTCTGGTTCTCCTGAGAATAACAACGAGACAGATTACCAGCTACAGTACAAAGCGAACATGACGTATTTAAATGGTTCGTCTGGTTTTAGCCATTTCGACTCTCCCATGGCTGAAGGCGTGACTTGTTTTGACATAGAACTCGTCGACGAAGATTTGTTTTCGTTTTCGGCTGACCAAAAGCGATTAACCATTTTACCCGAAGAGCAGCCTAAGCGAGGAGCTGTCAATTTACACGCTATAGAACACTCTTCGTCAAAAGTTCAAAATGTGATCTTTCAACCAAACCAAAAATCAACATTGATATCTTACTATGAACGAACTGTAATGAAAAGAAATTATACTGATGATAGAAAACCGTTAAAAGATGATACAAACAGAGAATTTGCAAAAAAACTTTATAAAAGATCGACTCTGTAACTTATAAGTTTCAGAGCTCAGCTTCTATCAGATTTTAGAAAGCTGAACTGTGTGTTTAAACAGCTAAGATATTATTGGAACCAAAATGATTTTTCGACGCAGCTTATCAGGCTAATCGTAGTACCAGCAAGTTTTTCAAAGTATGCAATGGAAGCTCTTTATAATAGCTAGTTAGTTGTATGCAACAGCTTGGGTACTATTTTTTAATTAATTTTTGTGATTAACTATTGTTCTATCTTTAATTTGATATTTTTGTATAAATATAGTTGTAATAATTGTAGAATATTTTGGTATTTAAGGTTGGTTTTCACATGAAAGTGTGTTCAATTATTGGAGAAAAATTTACTTTGTAATTGTTTTAGTAAAATTTTTTGAAAACCAAAAAAGAATATTTGGCTAAATGACTCATGGTGAAGGCTAAAGTTTATTTTCTCGACGAGGCTACTAGATTTGAACATGTAAAAAACAGTTATTACGTTGCATTTGACGACACGAGCGACGCTTTGAGTTTGCTTGGTTACTGGGCTCTAGAGTCTGGCAACAAATATTTTTGGAAACCCGGAATTTTAGAAACAGCAGCACAAAAAGGACATAATTTGGTCATTGAAGCCGTTGAAAGCTGCAGCCTAGACATATTAATTAAGCTTCAACAAGTTGTAAACACACAGTTGCTCGAAAAAGAGGGAAGTAAGTATAAATATTTCACTCCTCATGAAAATTTCGAAATAATTGTATTATATGTTTTGAGCAGCGTAGACATCGTTTCTAATTGTTACAAGAGCTATGAATTACCTCCGTCGTACAAATTGACGAACGCCAGCAAAATTTTCACTAACTGGCCTTACTTTTACTGTAAACAGTTGGATTTACAAGATTACATAGAAAAAAATTTTGCGCAGTTCAGCAAATTTTTGGTCGATGTTGGGCTGGTTTTGACAGCTCAAGTTAACGATTATCTTTCAAAGATTGCTAACAATTTGGGCGCTTTTAAAAGTAACAATATATACTTTAAAACCATTTCAAAATCAGATGTCTTGAACTTGTGTTTGATCGTGGATTACTTTAAAAATTCTTTGCAAATCTTCGACAGATGGCCAATAATGAACAATATTCCCGAAGTGCATCGTATAAATATTGTAAAAATTATTGTTGCATGTTGTTTGTCACATCTGCCTATATATTTGAAACTACTTATTGTTAATAATGTGATTTACCCTTTTTTCGGGTTGAAAGCGTTGTTTGAAAATTTCGACGAATTTACTACTATAAAATACCTCGACAACTTTGAGCCAGACTTACCAGCTAGCTTAGACGACATTCTGAATCCTGTTCTAAACATTTCTGCTTCGGTTAAGAGCTGGAACTTTTTAAATCGGATTCAACAAAGCGTTGTAGACTTGATGTCGCAATTTCTGAAAAACAAAAAACCAATTTTACTTGTTGGACCGGCTGGAACAGGAAAAACGCACCTGTCATCATTGGTTTTGAAGCAAGACGTAATTGTTTTTAACGTACATGACCAAACCGAGTCATCTGATTTGATTGGAACACTGCAACCAGTGACGAAACTAAACCGACTGGTAGAAATTATCAATGTTTTGAATTCTTTGAATTACAAATACAAGATATTCCACTACAATCAACATCTCATTTCGCAACTTACGACCATTAAAGAGTGTTTAGAAGTGATTGAAAATTTGCTAACTAAATTCGAAGAATTTTCGTCCAGTCAAAATCTAGATTCACATTTAAACACTGCTGAAATCAGGGCAAAATGCGAAAGCATTGTAAGCAATAATACGACATCGACCGAGTTTAGAGACGGGGTGTTGCTAGATACAGTTAAGAACGGAAAAGTCTTGGTACTTGATGAAATAGATTTAGCTCCCAACGACGTTCTTAACAAACTACTTCCTCTATATTCTCGTACGTCTGAAGTCTATCATGTTATGGAAGACGGAGGAAGAGAAATTCCTATACATCCCAATTTCCGACTAATTGGTACTATGAACCCTCCAAACTATTTGACACCTAACGGACTTCACGTGCTTAGCGGCGGGAAACGCAAAACGTTTCCATCAAATTTGTTACATTATTTTAAAATTTTTTACGTTGAAGACGTATATCGTCTGGCCGAGATAGTTAGCATTATAGAGAACGATTTGACACTTGTCAAATATAAGTATGAACTAGCTAGGTTCTTCCTTACTTTAAAAGGTTTGATCGCTTCAAGACAACTAGACACAAAATCTACAAATTTTATTTGCAATATTCGTCTTTTGTTTCGTTGTCTCTCCTACGTTCGAGAACGTCAATCGGTCGACAATTCAATTCCCGTAGTCATTTATCTTTTTGAAGCTCTAAGCGTTTACATTGCGGACGAACTTACCGTCAATTCAATTGTACATTACAAAAAATTGTTGTTGGAGATTTTCGGCAACCATGCAACGACATATCTTGAAAAATACTTTTTCAGTGAGAATGAAGCAGAATCTGGAAAACTCTTAAAAAATTCACAATCTGGCAAGCCAAAGAGTAGTTTATCAGTGAAAAAATACAAAAAAAACGGTTATGTAACTGTTGAAAACTTTTTTCACATCAAAGTTAGTGAATTCGAGGCGTCTCTGAAGCAACATAGCACATATATCTGTACTCCTTACACTATCGCGTTTATTTACAAAATTTTGCGAGTATGTTCTGGTACGATGAGTCCAGTTCTTTTACAAGGACCCACGTCGATAGGTAAAACTAGTATGGTTTTATTTGTTGCTTCACAATTAGGAAAGAAATTAATTCGTATAAACAATCATGAACATATAACAATGTCTGATTACTTAGGGCATTACAATATCATGGAAAATGGAGACTTTGTGTTTGTCCCAGGTCCATTGATCACAGCCATGCAAAACGGTTACTGGTTTATTTTAGACGAACTTAACCTTGCGCCCACGGAAGTAATTCAGGGATTAAACAGTATTTTAGATGACAACCGTTCAATTTTTGTTCCTGAGCTGGGCTATGTAATTCACGCACATCCCGATTTCAGAGTATTTTCGACGCAAAACCCGGTTTCCTACTCCGGACGTAAATTACTTACCGAAGCTATTCAAAACAGATTTATCAAATTGGAAGTTGGAAGTTTGCCTTTGCGGGATGTAAAATTAATCATTGAGTTGATTTTCCCAGAAATCGCTCCCTCTTTGGTTGTTCTAATAGCAGATGTTTATCACGAATTTCGTACACGGCATTTTCACGATTTTGGAGATATTTCATTTTTGATATATTTAAGAGATCTCTATCGCTGGTGTAAACTAAAGCCTTCTAATCTCGAAGAACTGGTAAAAACTGCCTTCGACATAATAGTAAGCAGAATTCGAAACCCAACGACGAAAAAACAATGTGAAGAGTTAATCGTCAATGTTATATGTAAAAACAAAACAAATAATTTCTCTGACAACATTAAAGCTGCTGTGTACGCTGATATGTACAAATTCAACAATCCTGCCTTTTGGGAGCAAACTTATCTGCTTAAAACGAATGTAACAGAAAAGATACTGTATTTTTGTGATTTGTCTTACAGATTAAAAGAGCCTTTACTTCTAATAGGAGGTACTGGGCTTGGTAAAACGTCGGTTATTCAAGAATACGTATCATGGGCGGGCAAAATGGCTAAAAAAAACCAAAAACTGTATATTGTCAACTGTCAACAAGGGACTGAAGCTTCTGATTTCTTAGGTTGTTTCATACCTAACGCTATTTCCAAATTGGAATGCGACGAATTAAAAGACATCTTACTTACTCTATTTGAATTGAATAACATCCCTTTAGAGACGAAAACTTTATTGCATAAAATTCAGCATGACGTTGAATGCACATTACACGAGTTTTTCAAAAGCTCGTTCTTGCAAGCTCATAAAATCTTCATTAAAAGAACTGATATTAACGAGTTAGTTGAATATGTGAAAAGTATTGACAAGGAATACAGTTGTTGCTCTTCTAGTAATGTGAATGAAAATTTGGAAGATGCCTCCGAAACTTTAGATACGCATGGCACAGTTCAATCTAATAAACGCATCAGAACTTTGTCCGTCACCCGAATCATTGAAAAGTTACAAAGATTCACTTCTTTATTTAAATGGCAGAATGGACCTTTGGTAAACGCTGCATTGAATGGTGACATTCTATTAATAGATGAAATCAATTTGGCAGAGGATTCGGTCTTAGAACGATTAAACAGCGTTTTTGAAGGCGAAAATAGCTCTCTTTATTTAGCAGACCAACAAGTTTCAATAAACATCCATGCTGATTTCAGAGTTTACGCAACAATGAACCCTTCTGGGGATTACGGCAAAAAAGAACTTTCGCCTGCTCTTAGAAATAGATTTTTGGAAGTTTGGACAGATGTGATAAACTTGGATGACGAAAAAGTCTACTACATTATTTCCAATTTGCTCTGCAGGCAAATTAAAAACATTGGTAAAGACGTATTAGAAAAAATAAGTAAAATTATTCAACGTATTTTCGTCATTTGCGATGAAACATTTAGTTACGACTATTCACTTAGAGACATTCTTGGTTTATGCACGACCTTTGAAAACTTGCTTAAGTTTTCTTTCATCAACCCCACGAATTTTGATATTCTTTTTATTTCGAAGCAATTGTTGCATTCCTTATGCACTATAGTACTCGATGGATTGAGTATAGGAAATATCCATGTTACTCCTATCGACAATGTAATTGAACACTACTGTTCTAATCTAACTCAAAAATCAGTTTTAATAAGTTTTTTAAACGAAAAAACTCAGAAAGTTCTCGATGACAAAACCTTTAATAATGATTTTTCGATTTGCAAGGCTAAAATTTTGCTCGTTGCTATTGAATTATTAGGAACAGCATTCGGTCTAAAATTGACGGATTTACAAACTTTGGTTACTTTTTTCCTACCCGATGGAAAAAATTGGGTTCATTTTAACGCTCTAGAAATTGTACCTACTCAGTTACAGATTGGAGAAATCACGATCAGCCAGGTTTTTGAAAACTTTTCCATTTTGTAAAAAATAATTGATGATATGGACTTTAGCGGATTCGTTGCTAAGAGCAATTTAACTAAACTTCTTTTGGCGTTTTTTTCAAAACGGCCCATACTTATCGAAGGAAAACCTGGGGTGGGTAAAACTTGCACAATAGAATGGCTTGCAAAAGTCTTTAACAAGAAGTTGTATCGTTTTAACATGAGTGACCAATCGGATCTGTTTGATCTGTTGGGATCATATTCATTTAAAAACGAAAATTTTGTGTGGAAAATCGGTGGTTTAACAAGTGCGATTCTAAATGGCGACTGGGTTTTGATAGATGAAATCAATCTGGCGCCTCAGTCTATTTTGGAAGGTTTGAATTCTTTGTTTGATTTCAGAAATTCTCTGTACATTTCGCAGTTTGATGAAACTCTGGTGCCTACAGATGGATTCAGACTTTTTGCAACTCAAAATAAACATTCTTACGGAACTGGCCGAAAAGGGTTACCTATTTCATTTTTAAACAGATTTGCCAAGTTGGAATTAGATTGCTTGAGTACACACGATATTTTTTTTATCTTGGAACAAAGATATCCAAAGCTTTCAAGCAAAATCAGTGCAGACTTATCTGTTCTTTTTTTCCGTTGTTCGCAGATTCAGTGGCAAACAGTTCATTCCGATCAATGGGAGTGGAACACGCGAGAGCTTTTCAAAGTTGTGCAGGTAGCAAACACTACCTTTGAAACCCTGTTCAAAGGCTTGGTAAACTACGATTTAGCTCAATATGTTTGTGTCAAATATGCGTTAAAATTAATTACATCTATGAAGTTTTCAGAAGTTCACGACATCGAACAGTTTGATTTATTGCTAAACGAAATTTGTAGCTCGGTATCAAGTTTAGACGAAAATTACATTGATAATCTTTTGATTGACCATTCTACTAGCGAAAACAAGGCGCTTAGTTCGTTTGATTCACGGCTTTTAGTTTCCAGAATTAACTTATTACTAAGCCAAAAATTTCCGCTTGTAGTTGAATCTGAAAATGACTTTTACGATCTGTTATCCGAAAATATCATTTGTCCTCAAAAAAAGACCGTTATTTTCGGTATTACTCCTTTAACCGATGCAAACGATTTAATAGGGTCATATGATGTGGAAAACAAAAAGTTTGTTTGGAAAAACAGCATTATAATTGATGCTTTTTCGAACGGTCACTTACTTATCATAACAGATGTCGATTATTCGGAACCTGGGTTGATCGATAGGTTGAACGCGCTACTCGAGACAGATTCGACCTTTTCTACTCATGAAGGCGAAGCCTTTAAAGAATATCAGAGACATCCAGATTTTAGATTGATGTTTTTGGTCAAATCATCAGAAAGTATGAGTATTAGCCCGGCAGTCCGTAATAGAACCATATTAGTAAGATCGTCTTCAATCATTGACAATATTTCACTCTTACGTTTAAACAAAGTTACTTATTCGCTTTATACAACTAGCGTTACTGGTCTCGAAAACCAGATGTTGGACTTAAGCGAGCTAAGCTTGCTTGAGAATCTCAAACTGCAGGACTTATTCTTTGCTAGTTTATTGTGCTTTCAAAATAAGAAGCACGATTTGTTCACCGTTTTATTTGTATCTATTGTTTTATCGCAAACAGAATCCGACAAAACCGCAGTTTCCATCTTGAAAACTTTCTTTTCAAAACTCGATTTCAGTTTCACCGAGGAGCTTCAAATTACAGTACAAAACAATAACAGATTCACCCATAAAATACTGGATCTATTCACAAAATGCAAAATCTTCTCAGTTTGCCCACTTGAAGTTGTCTTACAAATTTTTCAAACTATTAGCACTTTATCTGCTACTCAGCATGCATTTTTGAACGACTTATCATCATATCTTTTCAAAATCAAGGAATTTTTGCGCAAAATACTTTGTACTTTCGAACTGCACAAAGAATGGTTTTTATACTTATCCTTGTCGAACATTCCAATTGAAAGTGCTTATGAGATATTTTATGTAGAATCATTTTTAGAGGTATTTATTAATGAGAATTTAACTACTTTTTTCAACGACATTTCAGCTGCAGTAACAGATATACCTGGTTTTTCTGGTTCGACTGTATCTTTGGATATCAGGAAGATTAGTTTAACATTTTTACAACTGCTTAAACACAACGTCTTGGTTCAAAACAAACTTTGCTTTTTGAATGGCGACTTTGTTCTGCGGTTGACCAATTTCTCTCATAAATATTTCTTATTAGGTTATGTTTTATTTATGTCGAAAACCACTCGTGAGATGAATAGAAAGTGTATATTCGATATGACGTTTTTATTTATTGGTTATGAATTAGACTATATCATAACTCAGCTTATTAGTTTATCTGATGTTTCTTTTGAATTCCATTCATGGCTACTTTCTTTTAAAAGATATTTAGATGCTTTTTCTTTGTCTAAACAATTTGCTCGAAAACCCGATATGGTTTTTAATGGTACAATCGATTTAGCTTATTACTTGTCAAGTTCGATCATTCTTGAAAAAAAAGAACTCAGTAATGTTTTCAATACATTGCTAAGTATTAAACCTTTTACATCAAAATTTAAGTCAACGCTACATATTTTGCCATCCGTAGAAGCGTTAAACAAAGACGTAGAAGTCTTTATAAAGTCTACTGAAAAAAGCAATCTTTATACTGAACTTAAAAATATTTTTTTTCAACTTCGCAATGACAAAACTTTTCAAGCTACAGCAGATGTAAATCTGAACTTAGTAAAAACCAGATCTATACATTCTATCAAGAGATTGTCGGATTTACTCTTAAAAATATTTGAGTCCTCATTTCCAATTGTTGTTCTCAACTCTTTAATTCAGAAAACAGACCAGTTCTCAATCTATTTTGTGGAATTTTTAGAATGCATGAGATGGCTCAATAAAATAAGCACTAAGTGCGACTTATCAGTTTCTTCCGTTATCTCAACTAAAAACATTTTCTCAATTTTTTCAGCTGGTTTCATGAGTTTTTGCCAAAACCACAAAGGATTACTACTTATTGTTACAACCATTCTTTTGAAGAACATCACTAATAAAGAACATTTGCTTACTCCTGAAATGACTAGATATTTATACTATTTTGAATTACACCAGCAAATAACAAGACATCCAAATCTTGAGTTTATTTCCACTTCCATCATCGCTTGGAACAATGGCGATCTTAGCACTTGCTATGATTTAAACCACTGCACTGAAATGCCGACATCTATACTGGCAGAGAAATTCTCAGAATGTTCTTGCAAAGGCTTAATCGAAATTTTCACTTGTTTCAGAGACTTACTAGATTCGATGCACGACGAAGAATGGAATTTTGTGGCAAACAAATACATTAATCCTGCGCTGCAAAAAAGAAATTACAGTTCCTTGGAAAATAAATGTTTGGTCATGCTGGATGCCGCTATTTGGGCTTTTTTCTATCATATTGTCACGCAATATGAGAGCATGTTCATTAATGAAATGGATTTGGTCATCGATAGTATAAAGCAAAATCATAATTGTTACTCACGTAAAGCTACAAAACTTGTAAAAGACATTTTATACTACAAAAATAACATTTCGAGCAATCTCAACGCAATAAGAGATATTTTAATAGACAACCGCGAAATCATTTTAACCTACAATGTCGATTCTTTTTTGAACGTGCTTAGTGCTTATATCATTACTAGACAGAATCTGTATGAATACCTTATGGATCTGGATAATCAACAAATCACTATAATCGAAAAGTTTCAAAATGATGTTATTTTCATCTCAATGTCTTCGACTTTGAACAAATTTATCTACTTTGTTTATTCTGTTGTTATTTACATGACGTTAAAAATGATACCATCGTCGTTCAATTCAACTAAAGCATTCCAGATCGAATCTTTTTCGTTGGCGACCAAGAAATACTACCTTATTTCTGAGTTAAATGCAATAATTCATTCCGACACAAATCTTGTAGTGTTTCCTGTAGACGTTTTTAATGTTTCGCTAAAAAATCACACTCTGTCTCTTTCAGCATTTCTACCGTTCACAACAAAAAATTGGTTATCGAATAAATCTCTTAGTCAATTATCTCCTGACGCACCCACGTTTTCGATTTATGCTTCAATCATCCTTAAATGGATCTTTTACGGTTTTATGCGGTTTGACAAATTCAACATGGACTATTTATCAAATGTAATGTCCAACTATAATGCGTATCTAAATTCTGAAATTAACGACAATGATATCACCTGGACTCAAGAAAATTGGGGCACTCGAACTGAACTGAACGAATTTGAACTTCTCAAACCAGTTTTTGAAGACCAATTTGAAGATGATTTTGACGCAACTAGTTTTTCACTCAAGAAAAAACAAGAAATAACTGAAAATTCTTACACGGACCTTGAGAACGCTCTTCAAGCCAGTTCAATTTTTTTCGGAAACGAACTAAACGCTAACGCAGTTAACTTGTTTACTATATACGAGAATATAATACGTTCTGCACAGCTTTTTTCTAACGATATATACTGTGCTGATTTGCTAAACAAACTTGCTAATATTCACCAAAAAATTATAAAGCATAGAATCAACTCGAACGAAAATTTTTACAGGTTCAGCTTTTTATCGAATAAATTTTTGTCAGTCGCTTCAAAAAACGACGTGCCTGTCTCAAGTATTGATTTTTCAAAGCATGTCAGTTTGTCTGATATGATGAAATTTGCTCTCATTATAGACGAACTAAATCTCTCGTTGAAAAAAACTACTACGACCCTTAGTTTAACTAACAATAACGAAATGTTTCACATTGAAGAAACGCTTGATTTATGTTACGAAATAAAGTCTAACCAAATCAAATACACGTCTTTGTCCATCATAGCAGAGAAATTGTACAGTTTGGTAAAACGATTCATTTCAAACTTTGTACCTAAATCTGACCCAGTGTATAAATCGCATGAAAAACTTGGAGCCTTCCTGCTTAATTTATATCAGAATAGAATTAATTATTGGAACGAACTTATTTTTTGGCGAGAAGTCACGTGTCAAAAACGATTTTATAAGCTTTCCATAGTGAAGTTATTAGACTTAGTTTTAGCTCTGCTAAAGGGAGTTATCGATCGCTACAGTTTTGCTAGAAACATTTTTTCGTATTGTTGTACAGAAATATCAGGCGCCACTCTGGTCGAAATTCCTTTGATTATTTTAATTCTGAAACATTTGGCTAATATTAATGTGACTTATTCCTCATTGCTTCTTAATTTAGTTGAATATCTGAGTACTCGATTTGAACTATTCCAGGATGAATATAATGCAGTACTTAACGAAATACATTCGCAAATAAAAGCTGTCGTCCTTTCGCACAGATCTTACAAATTGGAAGTTGATAAAGAGGAGCGTCGAGTTCAGAACAAATTGCAGCAAATTTGCAGGCTCATTTCCAAACTTGATACTTTTTACCAAACTCCGTTTCAACATTTTGTCAAAAAAGACAGTTTGAAAATAACTTCTTCCACGTTTATTACGAATTTAAAAGCAAAATTAGCAGCATTCCGCAGACACGATTACCAGTTAAAACTGACAAATCAAACATGCGTTAATCACGTTTCTAATAGTTTGGTTTCCGGTGTGAAAACTATCAGCGAACTGTTTTCCATGTTTAAGCAAATGAACGTCAGAAACCAAGTCGAGTTAAACAACAACCAAATTAGGAAAATTGCAATGTTTATCTTTGGACCGGATTTCAAGACGTTTGTCAGCAGAGTTGAATTCCGCAACATGGTTAATTTCTTTTGTATTTCAAACGACAATATTGATCAATCAGTATTGGCAAAGCAACACCTTAGTATTTACTTAGTAGAAAAAATACTTTTCATAGACGAAGCAGAAATTCATCCAAGTTGTGTATCTCGCTATTTAGATTGGATCTGTTTAGCATATCACCTTTTCGTTTATTCAATGGTGTTTATTCGGTTAGACAACTATTCGAACTTGTCTGGAACGTTAGAAAAAGGTTTTGCAACTTTATCAAATAATGATATTTCCGACCTAACAGATGCTTACAACGATATCTTACTTTCACTCATGGACTTAAGCATCGATAGCTTCAATAAAGACAATTTAGAGCTCAAGGTGAATGAAACCATTTTTGAAATTCGTAATTTCATTGAAAACCTTTCTTCTTTGTTTACAGCCGCGATAAAATCAGACCTGATTGAGCTGCTTCAAAGTCAAAAACGATATCTTAACGTCATTAATACTATTATACAAAAAATGGCAAAAAGCTCTATTACAGCTACACTAAAAAAACAAATTAATTCTCAAATAGAACGTATTAACTTTATTTGTGATAGTCTGGGTGTGTACGAAGAAATTTCTTTTTACGGGCCCAACTGGCACTCTATATTCCAACTGCTGTTTTCGAATAATTCTGATGAAGAATTTGATTTTTCTTTAGTTTCAAACTTGTACAGAGAGATGAACAATTTATTGTTTTTTATTAAGGGCAAACTCGATTCGCCACTCACTAAGAGCTTCGTTTACACAAACGCTATAACGGTCGAACAGAGTAACATGCTTAGCGAATTGATCCAATCAACAGGTTATACTTGGCAGGATTTATCGATGTTGGTGTATGCAGAAATATTTGAACTTCTTAAGAACGGTTTGTCTTTTGAGCAGGATGAAGAAATGGAACAAACTTGCAACGAAGAACTTGGCAATGGTACAGGTTTAGCTGAAGGCAAAGGTTTGGAGGACGCCCAAGAAAAATTGGAAAATGAATTGGATTTCGACACACTACAAGGTGAAGAAAACTACGATAACGAAAAATCTAACAATAAAAAGAATGAAGAAGCTTTCGAAACTAATATGGATTATGGAGGCGAAGTTAGCGATGTCAGCCAAAATGACGCGGATGAGTTAGACTCCAACAATTACGAAGACGAATTTGGACATTTCTCTGATGACGCAAATTCCAAAAATATTGACGAAGATTCAGACCTCCCCATGGATGAAAACGAGACTATGAGTAAAATCAACAAAGATCCGGACTTGTCTGATGACGGGCAAAAACAAACTGATAATTCAACTCAGGAACCTGAAAAGACAAAAGCAAGAGACACAGACGATTTATCTTTTATTGATGATTTAAATAAGGATGTGGATAATCTCGAAAATGGGGTCGAGGACGAAACTATGAATGCAGAAAAGCCTGACAATGAACAAGATGGCGTTCAGTCCAGTTTACTAGAAGACTTATTGAACAACGATATATTATCGGACAACGAGTCTGCATCAGACATAGAAAACCTGAGTGAAAATGAAGATTCGCAACTTAATGAAGATGTCTACGAAGATGACAATACTAATGACTCAGAAAAAGAAATCAAAGATATTACTGATGGCCAAGATGAAATCCCAAAAAACGAAAGTGTGGAGCAAATTGAAAACAATGACATCGCGGCTAGTTCCCAGTCCAATACTACATTTGATACAAAGCAACATAATCCAGTTGCAGAAGACACAATCCAACAACCTGAGGCTGGCGAGAAACCCACCGAACCTAAATTTACGGATGACGCGCAAATTTCGAATAATACCAAAGACCAAAACGAAGGATTAGAGGCTGTTAGCGACTTAGTAGATCAAACTAAACCCCAAACTTCTTTTTATAACGCTCAAAAAGACATAAAATCGGAAAATAACATCGACACTTGTAATGAACAACAAAAAGCAAATGCCGAAGTCTCTGATTTAAACATATCTAATTTGAGCAACAACCCTACGCATGATGATCAAGACGAGACAGCGAACAGGTCTGCTTCAGCGAGTCTGAACGAAACTTCCAGCATGACTGGAAATCTGCTGTCATCTAAGAAAAGTGAAGCAAATGCCGAAACCAATTTTGCAAAAAAACGGAATCAAGAAACGGAAAAGTGTTCAAACAAGGAAACCGCCAAAGATGAACTAAACTTTGACTTTACCGACATGGATAAAACGAAAACCCATCCTCACATTCAAAATGAAACAGGCACTGATGTTGACTTTGAACTGCCCGAATATCAGTTCAGCAATTCTTTAACAAGCTCAATAACAGTTCAAGCCAATTTGCTGCGAGAAACTTTGCGAGTATACTTGGAGCCCACTAACAGAGGCAAATACAAAGGGTTTTTTAAACAAGGTAAACGCATTGCGATAAAACAGGTAATCACATATATTGCAACCAATTATCAGAAAGACCACATTTGGCTGCAGAGAACTAAAAAGACGAAAGTTGACTATTTCATTTCTATCTGTATCGATAACTCCAACTCCATGGTAACCTCTAACGTTTGCGAAATAGCGGCGGTCTTGTCTCTCTCTTTGATATCGGCGTTTCAACAGTTAGAAACCGGCAAGATCAATTTAATCAGTTACGGTTCCGATGAACCCGAATGCATCTTCTCGGAGACGGACATAGTTTCACCGTTTACAATTGCAAAAGTGCTGCGAAAACTAAACTTCGCTGGAAACATGAAATCAGGTTTTGACCACGCGCAACAGTTGCTGCTTCGCTATTTAATTGACAAATTCACGAGTTCTGAATTCGCTTCCGTCGGCGCTCAGAAGAAACTGGTGATTATTTTGTCTGACGGGCGTTTCAAACAAGCCGAGTTGCCGCAGCTCCTTCAGAATTTGCAGAATCTAAACGCACATCCTATCCTGGTCATACTGAACAACGAGAAAAATTCTATTTTTGACATTAAGCAAGTTAAATACGACGTTATGACGAAGAAAGTCACAAAAACCAACTTTATCAACGACGAAACATTCCCGTTTAAGTATTACACGGTTATCAATGACATGAATCAATTTCCGAGTATCGTTTCAGATCTGATACGCACATGGATCAGCAACAATTAAGATGGATATCTTATCGGTATAATACATATCACTATATAATATATACATATCATAAACAACATCAATTTTTATTAAAGTATATCAGAATAAGTGTTAATGATAATCTCGCCGTACTCTTTCCAAAGACTAGCTATGCACTTAACGCGTACCTCATCGAAATATGGATGATACAACGCGTCCTTTGCCGTGATGCGTTCTGTGTGATCGAACACCAAGAGTTTGTCTAGTAGGTCGAATGCATCGTTACTGAGGAAGCGCTGGTCGTCCGAGTCGATAAACTCTTTCCAGGGGATTCGGGGCTTGTTCAGAATTTCTTTAGAATTTTCGTCGAATGGAGTATTGAGCCCGTACTTCTTGATGTATTTCAAAAACTCATCAGTGCCGAGTACTTCGACTATTTTCACAAGTTGGTCCACATTATCAGCACCTTTAAAAAACGGGTCGCGCCTGAACATGAGAGCCGCCAATATGCAGCCAACAGACCACATGTCGATGTTGTAATCGTACACGTACAGGTAGGTCAACAATTCCGGAGCTTTGTAGAACCGGGAAGCGACTCGAACATTGTAGAACTTGCCCTCTAAATAGTATTCAGCCAAACCCCAGTCTATTAGACGCAACTTCTTGTTTGCCTTGTCGTACATGATGTTGTGGGGCTTTATGTCGCGATGCATAATTCCTCTTGAGTTTGCCATATCCAGCGCAATCAGCAGGTTGAAGAGGTATATCTTGAGGTCCGTAGCGGTAAATGTCGAAAACAACAATCTGAAATCCCACGTGTTTACCTTTTCAGTTACTAGACTCATGACTTTGCTATCTGGGTCTTTGATCGCAGTGATAAACTCAATTATGTTTGGACATCCTTGCAAATGGTTCAAAATCGAAATTTCTCTTTTTATCTTCTTCTTTCGAACGGGCTTCAAAATTTTTACGATGACTGGATCTTCTTCTTCGCTGTCCACTCGTTTCATCACACCGTCGAAGACGTCACTGTATTTCCCGCGGCCAATTTTGTTTATCAGCTCGATGCCGTCCGGGGTATACCAGTCAACCTTGTAAACTTCGTAATCCCAGTACTCTGCACCCTGGTCTTCACAATAAGTGGTGTAATACTTACACAGTTGAACTGGAAAGTCGTTAAAAATTACATGACCGTCTTTTACTTCATAAAATTCTGCCAACGCCATTAAAATTCTATATATTTAAACTAACAATCAATTCGACTTTTCAGCAAATATTGTGTAAAATGTTGTTTTATATTAGATGTCATGTTTACTATTTTAATTTTATTTTTTTTCATTTCTGATTTTTGATTGATTATTCAGCATTTATCTCATATTATGATTAATATTTATTTTTTTGTATAAATTAAATTTTAGTAAAACATTATGATATGTAACCTACTACTTTTGGATAAAAAAAAATTTCGACACAACATAAACTTCGAAAAAATTTGTCAAAATTTCAAATCCTAAGAGACTGCACAGCGTATATTTAGTTAATAGTTATGCAGCGATCTATTACACGTAAAAGGATTTAATCATCGTCATAAAGTAAGGCTCACGAGCTCAGACTCTTTCTTTGATGATCATGCTAAATCTAAATTATCATACTGTCAAATGTGCAACAAGTAATTTCAAATTTTTTTGTGTAGGACTGATTTTTTATTTTTTTTGTTAAAAAATTATTATAGATACTTCTGGCATTATGGAGAAAAGAAGACTATCGTCGCTTACGCAAAGATTATCGATTAATTCGGAGAATCCCGTTTTGACAGGCGTCATTACGGACGTCAGCAAACCAATTGACGATTCTATTGAGAATGAAAAGTTACTAGAACAAATTAAAGTTCCATTATTTTATGTATTCAAAGCTTTGACTACTAAAAAAATATATCTATACATTCTTGCCTTAATTTCAGCAAGTTTCTTAGGTTTTTTCATGCCTTTGCGAAATGTTATCTTTGGTGATGTGTTTCCAAAACTTTTAGCTAGCCCTGACGAAGATAAAGCTACAGAAATCCACAAAATAGTAAAAAATTATTTTATTATCGGAGCTTTAGCTTTTTTCACCTCTGTCGTATCAACTTTCCTTGTGGAGATCTGTTCAGAACTGGTAATATTCGACATTAAGAAGAAGTTTATTAAAAAATTACTCGAACAAGAAATTGCTTTTTTCGACACCAACGGTGAAGATTCAAGCCCAAGTCAATTAGACGCTAGCTGCATTCACATCCGAGATGCTTTAGGCATAAAGTTAGCTTCTTTAGCCAAATCCATCGCAATCTTTTTTACCGCTTTTACAATTGGTTATTGGAAAAACTGGAAACTCGGATTGGCGCTCACATTGACATTTCCGCTAATGGTTTTAAGCATTGGAGTGTTTGTAAAACATTTGAAAAAATCCATCGTAGCATCTATTGAGAAGTTCAAAGAAGCGAACATAATTATGGAAAGCTCATTCGAATCTCCGCGTGTAGTTCAATCTTTGTGCATTCAAGAAACAATAATAGAAAAATTTCACAGAATCGTAAAGAGTGGGTACCACAGTGACGAGAAAGCCGCCAGAGCCAAAGCGTTTGGATTGGCTACTTTATTGATCATCGTTTACGGTACTTACGCGTACGGTTTCGGTCTGCTTGGATATTTAATGATACTGAAAATTCGAAAAGAAGAATCCATAGCGACACTTCTGTCTACTTTCCAAGGTGGTATCACTACTTTTCTGTGTATTTTGGTAGCTAGTTTTGTTTGCAGTGATATCCCGCCTACCATTGAAGCCATACAAACAGCTTCTAAATCTTACGTCGTGGTTAAAAAGTTGGCTGGCAGAAAGAGCTTGATAAATCCCAACTCGACCGAAGGAAAGATTCTCGATGAAATTAGAGGCGAAATAATTTTGAGAAATGTCTCATTTAGCTATCCAGCAAGACCGGAACAAAAGATTTTCGAGAACTTCACATTAAAAATTAGACCGGGTGAAGTAGTTGCGCTGGTCGGAGCAAGTGGAATTGGAAAAAGCACAATTGTCGATCTTTTAGAGCGATTCTATAACATTTCTAATGGAGAGATCTTAATTGACGGACATGATATTAATTCACTAAACTTGTTTTACTACCGCAGTCAAGTTGCCTTAGTAATGCAAGAACCACGCCTGACTTCCAGCACAATTTTGGAAAACATTTTGCTTGGCCGGCCTAAAGCATCTAAAGAAGAAGTTATTGAAGCAGCGAAAGTTGCGTACGCTCACGATTTTATTATGAAATTGCCAATGGGTTACGACACTCACGTCGGAAACTCCGGAAGCATGCTTTCCGGCGGTCAAAAACAAAGAATCGCGATAGCTCGAGCTGTTTTGCAAAATCCTAAATTGTTAATTTTGGACGAAGCCACAAGTGCTTTAGACAACAAAAGCGAACAAATCGTGCAAAAAGCTTTGAATGAGCTTATTGCCAGACAAAGATGTACAACGATCATCATTGCTCATCGACTTTCGACCATCAAGAACGCCGACCGTATTGTGTTGTTAGGTAAGGATGAAACTAACACCAAGACTGTAATTTTACGACAGGGAACTTTTGACCAGTTGATAGCCGATCATAATAGCATCTTCTTTGCTATGTACAATTCTCAAATTGTTGAAAAATCAGAAGCAAACGACGAAGTCTTTAATGACAATGAAGACACACTTGATTCCAAAGAGAAGATTTCAGAAGATGTTTATGATGAGGATTACTCGCACAACGTGGTCAACCCCAACATCTTAAATAACACCACAACCAGTTCGGTTTTTAGTGAATTCCTCATTCATAAAGTTAGATACGGTATCGCTTTCGTGTTAAATATATTCGCAGGTTCTACGCATGCCTTTATCGGTATGCTTGTAGCGAATTCTATTAATCGCATCACTTCTGTCATTGCAAATCATTTTAGAGACAACGTAACTTCTAGAAACGGAAACAAGTCTTTGACCAAAGATTTAAAGTTCGCAATAATAAATTCAGTGCTTGAGTTCATTATTCTCATGATTTTCTCATCTACTATTTCATTCTTCAGCTCAATATTTGGTGAAAATGTTTCCAACTATGGTTTGTTTAACTTGAGACTGAAGTTGTTCACTAACTTAATCTACCAAGACATGGAGTTTTTTGACAACCCCAAAAACAACCACGGACACCTTTCCAGCGTCATTTCTGCAGACTGTCAGACAGTTAAAATTGTCTCTACTGGAGATTTCTTTTTGCTAGTTAGAACACTAGCAACCATTATCTGCAGTTTCTGTATCGGTTGTTACTACAACTTTAAGTTGACCCTAGTTTGTTTCTCGATATTTATTTTAGTACTACCAATCACCTATCTTCAGTCTAGACTAACGAACATGAGAAATAAGGCCGCAAATAATACCAATGGCACAGAAAACCATACACCGCAATTTATTGCAGCTGAAATCAAGTCTTCTCTTAGATTGATAGCAGCTTACAATTTGCAAAACTACATGTACATCAAATACGCCAAGGCACTTAAAAAACAACTAGGCACTGTTTATTTCAATACATTTTTCGCTACGTTTATACGAGCTGTCGTCGATGTTTTCCCTTATTTAGGAACAGCTCTTATTTACTTGTATTCAATCAAATTACTCAAAGACGGCAAGGTTGATCTCCCAACTATATTTTCCACAACAAATACTGTTATTGTTGGGCTACAATCTTCTTCGAGCGCTTTAAACTTCCTTACAGAACTCTTTAGAACTAAGACTGCTTTCAATAACATATCGGAACTTTTGGCTTGCAAACCATCTATCGACGCCCAATCCGAAGAAGGGCAACGGCTAATTCTCGACGGAGATATCGAAGCAAACAAGATTAAATTCAGATATCCACACCGCGTTTCCGTTCCAGTCCTCAAATGTTTAGACTTGCACATCAAGCCTGGAATGACTGTCGCTTTTGTCGGTGAAACAGGAAGTGGTAAAAGCACCATAATTCAGCTGCTCGAAAGATTTTATGAAATTAAGTCAAATGACGTTTCGATAAACACTATTTCAAAGTCCTGCAACTCAGATTTTTACGGAGGAAGCTTGAATTTAACCAAAAAAAACGTTCAAGATTTAAATATTCAGTTTACCCGTAGTCAAATGTCATTAGTCAGCCAAGAACCTGTTTTGTTCGAAGAATCAATTTTGGAAAATGTTAAGTATGGAAACATGGGAGCATCCAATGATGACATCATTAAAGCATGCAAAGCTGCAAACGCTCATAACTTCATCATGTCGTTGCCAAATGGATACAACACTAACGTCGGAAGCAAAGGTAGCCAGCTTTCTGGAGGTCAGAAACAAAGAATTGCCATTGCTAGAGCGCTCGTCCGCAAGCCATCGATTTTAATCTTAGACGAAGCGACTAGTGCTCTCGACGTTCAAAGCGAGCAGATCGTCCAAGAAGCTTTGAATGAGATCATCAAAACTTCTAACTGCACAACCGTTTTGGTTGCCCACAGACTCACTACAATTCGTAACGCCGACGTCATTTGCGTTTTACAAAACCAGATTGGTGAAGGCAGTATAATTGCGGAGCAAGGAAACCACGATCAACTCATGGAAAAGAAGGGTATATATTATCGCTTAGTTATGAGCAGCAACTCTAATTAATTACAAATTTATTTTATTTATATAGTATATGATCGTAGAATAGTTTAGAATAGATATAGCTCAGTTATCACGATAAAAGATTTATAATTTCAAAAAAAAATAATCGAGCATACTGTGTAAAAAGCCTAGATATTTATAGATCCGAGTATCGGGCGGTGGCTCTAAAGTTCACGGAACGAGATTTATTCTGTAAATCTTTTCGCGGCTCATCCCAATCACGTCCTGACATGGGATTAGACAGCTGGACGGGGCGTTGGCGGCGTGACGACGATAATAAATTGCTAGATTCCTTATTTAGTGTGCGCTTACGTCGAATTATATAGTCAGAGCATTCGATCATGCAAATTAGGGCTGAGTACTTATCGACGTCAAAGAATTCATCTGCTAAAACTGCATAACTCTTTTGTATTAAGTCATTTAACAAATTCCTGTGTTTATTTTTGATGTGTTTATGTACGAACTCAGCACCTCTAAACATTTTTCCACACACCTCACACTTGAATCGCTCTTCACACTCTTTGAAAGTGTTCGCCAAACAAATATCGTTCCAGGTCGTTTTAATCAGTGGGTGAGACTCGCTCATCGGAGTAAGCAGATTTTTTAAATTCCACTTGAGGATTGTCTCGAACCTCTTAATGAGATTTCGTCGAGCGAGCTCGGTTTGTTCGTATTGCGGACGCTCAAAGTTTTCGCAACGCACGGAACAGTAGCCAGTAACCTCAAAGAAAGCTCTGCCGGAATCAAACAGTCTTCCTGTGTAAAAGTCAAAGTTATGTACGGTGCGCAAGTAAACAATGCAAAGATCGAGTTTTTTAATTATATCTAATGTACAACTTTTAATAAAATCATAAAAAACAGAATTAGGTAAGTTTGCGTCGTCGGTCGTTTCGTCATCAATATCTTTGAAAGACTCCTTAGTTGTTTCTGTGGTTAGTTCATTAAAGTCTGAAGAAAGTACGGATTTTGTGTTTTCAGAATTTTGAGCTTTAGCATCGCTGCTTTGCAATTCTTGATCAGTGTTGGAGGTTGTACTGGTTTGAATGCAGCTCAATGTATGTTTGTACTTGTCGTTGAGAGGATGCAAATAAAACTTATTAAACGTTTTAATCAGTTGTTCTGCATAGTTTAGATCGGTAATAATTTGAGCTTCGGACGAGTACTCTTTGACAAGAGTAATTTTCGAAAGCTTCGCGTCGGACTCTTGCAATTGCTGCGGCTTCGGCATGTTTATCGCGCTAATCGTCAAAAAAGCACAGTTTATAAGCATCTTAGAACGAGTTTCGGCGTCAACGAACTCAACGTACACATATTGAGTGGGAACCAGCGACAAGTTGTCAGAGTTCAGCGAGCGCGCTGAGCCGGTCAATGAAACACGAACGTAACATTCGCTTATGAGACGAAGCATTTCGGTTTGGTTTTGATCCGAAAAGTCCTTAATGTCCTTGATCAGTAAGGGGTACAGTTTGGAAAAATAATCGTCCGTGAGACAGGAGGGAACGACGTGAAGCGCGACAAAACCGGGTAATGCCTCGAAAGTTGAAAGGAGATCTGCTTTTTTGATGTAAGGCGAAACATGCTTAAAAACCAGGGTTGAATCCAAGTATGCCGGGCGAGTCCCGAAAAAACCAGCTAACGCCAGATCCAAGTTCAGCTTGCAGGCTGGGACCGTTCCTATATTTACACAAGACGTGTCTTGAAACGAGATCATATGTTCTTTCGCAAGCTGGTTGTACGTCTGGGGTAGAGTCAAAGACAAATCGCTAAAAATTCCGTTTTCGACGTCGGTGCAAAACTTTCGGTCTGCTTCGATGTAGGCTTTCTTTGTGGAATATAGCCGACTTCTAAAGGCGTCCGGAAAGTAATCTGTGAAATACCTAGCGTTGCTGTTGAGCAGTGAATGCATGTTTTCACGCTGTTTCAACACTCGGAACTTTTGCTTATAGGCTTCATATAACTCCACGCCTTCGTGAGGCGTCAAAGATTCCGGTTGGAAACGAATAAAATCCTTGAAAGAGTTAAAGCATTGGTACAGCGCAGCTATGTTTATATCACTTGAAACAACATGATTGGGCATTGACCTTAAAGTATAAAATCGCCACCAACAGGTCTAAATTTAATTTTATGAAAATTACCTCTGGAAATTGCTGTTTTAAAAAATAAGCAAATTCTGCTAAAGTCCAAAAAAATAGTAATAAATATAAATTTATGTTTATATATTACGGACAAAGATTTGATTAGAGAATGTTCCTGATGTGACCAGGTTTTTCACTAAGTGTTTACAAGTACATTTAAATGGAATATGATTCGTCTGTAGAAAACGAAATTTCTGTCTTACTTTTAAACGAAGGAAATGTCGATTTTACGATAGAAGAAAAATTTTTAATTCCATGCGACATTTTCCGCTCAAGTAAAAGCGAACTCGAAAACCTGGCAAATTTGATTCCTGTGGTAGTCAAAGTGTTTGAAAAGGCTGATTACTATGAACAGCTTTTAGCGCATGAGTTCCAGCTACAAACTGAAAAATCCACTGTCAGAGACGCTTTGATGTATTATAAATTTTCCAAAAACTTGAGCTTTGGACTCAGTTTGTACGTCCTCGTCAGAGCTATAAGTAAGTTTCCAGTCAGCTACAAACTTTGGAAGCACCTTCTAGAACTCATACTATTGCACGGAGCGACTTACTTGCAGTACCTGCCTTTGTTTCACAAAATTTTTAAGCTGAGCTGGACGTCCATGCAAGACTTTCCGGTCATACTTCTACAGTACCCCCAATTTACATATTACGTTTTGAAAAACATCGCTTTGACCTACAATTTATACAATTCTCTGCTAAAAATAGTTCCAGTCACGCAGCACGAGACGTTAATCTGGCCTGTTATATTTAGGTTCGCCGACGAGACTCAAATCTTATCACTGAAACTTTGTTACTTGTTTCGGTACATTATTGTGTATCGGCACCGAATAGACACATTAATTGCTTGTTTGCACCAAATACCAAATTTAAAAGACGTTGTTAACTCACATAAACTTTTAGAAAAGTTGGCTGATTCGATCGACTATGTCACTGAACCTTACTTTTTACGGTATATTTATGCTCTGGCAAAACTCGACAGAAAAATGGCTATTTCTGCGATCCAGTACGGTGTTAACAAGTTTCCGTCCCTCTCCGTCGACTTGTACGAACTTGAGCTCAGTATTTACCAAGATAACGAGGAGCAGCTACTTTTGACTTGCATTAAAATATTATCGTCTTTAAAAGATGAGAACAAATTTGAACATTTCGCAGAAACATTTGAACGAATTCTTCGCAACAATTCTGATCTTTTCAATCAGTGTTTGAATATGATAAAGATAGACAACTTAAGTAACAATATAGACGATGTCGACTCTTTAATAGAATATTCTCTCAAAACCTTTAAACTCAAACAAAGAATCGATGAACCACTTAGTTGGATCAAATACATTTACTTACTACATAATATTTCTAGCGTTTTAGAAGCAACGCCTGACAAATTAACGTCGATTTCGCAAATTTTTAACGCCGCCATTGGCTACTTGAAACCTTGCGAAACTACTGATTATTTTGTGATTTGGGCGGAGTACATCAATTTTCTGAAGTTAAACAACCAAAAAAGCGAGGTTAGTAAACTGTTCGACCAAGCAAAAGAAATTCTTCCGAATTCTGCGTTTTTTCAAGGCCAAATCAAACTATTAGAGCTGGAACTACAGCTTGCTGATAATCCAATCTCTGAAGTCTATTCAGACTTGAATAAAAATTTGTCTTCGTACACTTCTCACGCCAATCTCTATAAAAAATCTTTGGGGATCAATTTGCTAAAGGTGGACCTAGAACTAATGCTTGGAAAACATGACAAATTTGCTGAAACAGTGGCTACACTTGTGAACGCGAAACTAGCCCCGCCTTCACTTCTCAACAGCTTATTAAACAAACTGATTAAGCTAGAAATGTACGATGAGTTTTTTTCCATTTGCTCAAACTTTGTGTTCAAATATTCCAACGAAAACATAGGTCCAACATATTTGTTTTATCTTACTGCATTCGTCTCCAGATACAAGAACAAGAAGATAGAGCAAACTCGCTACTTGTTTCGACAGGCTTGCGAACAGTTGGACCCAGAACACAGGCGTTATGTTTTGTTTATTCAAGCTAAATTTGAGTTGGAGTTTGGTATTTATAAATTAGCTCTCAATGCGTTTAAGAAAATCATTGACTATTCAGCAAAGAAAGAAGTTTTCAAGTCTTACGCTCTCATGGCAAAATATTGCTCAGGTAAAATCGATTTGAAGTCCCTGATCACTGAGATAGAACCGTGTCTCAATAGTGTTCAAGATTTCGACTATCCCAAAGCGCTTGTTTTATTGTCTAAGCTTTATTTTTCTAAGAACGAAGCCCGCTACACCGATTTTCTTTTTACCGACGGCGTGGCAGCTCTTTTACAGCTGTTACGCAGCGATAAGTGGCGATTGTCCGATATTAAACAAAAGAAAGAAGTAATTCAATATGCAGACATGTTTTTCAAGTTGTGGCAGGGCTTCTTGTCCAAACAAAAAGACCCAATAAAATTAATTGCCATCGTTAAAGCACAACAAGATTACAACACATTAACCTCAATCTATAAAAAAATATCCTAAACAAATATTATTCCATACTTATTAATATTTTTTGTCAGTCTGGTTTTATAATTCACACAGTTCATTGGGCTAAGTGGTTCGGCCTTTAATTAAACAATGGAACAGTACGACTGGTGCGACGTTATTGATCTTTCTTATGGAACAATTAAACAGCACGAAAAAGAACTCAGCATTTTTTTTAACAAAAACGGGTTTCTGTTTTTGAACAATTTATTATCAAACGAGCAAAAAATTTCTAACGCCACAATAAAACTTATAATTACAGACGTCAAGCGCGCTTTCTCAACGTCAAGCACAGCCGTTCAGCATGTCTCGCAAGAAGCTTGCATCCTGTATTATCACCACCTTAATACAAAACCGTATGCACAAAGTGACTACACGATTTTTCAATCTTTACAAAGTTCTTTGGATTGTAAGAAAAATTTTGCTGTAAAAAGTTTGGTCTTTCGTTTTTTAATCAAAAAAACTTTTATCGAAAGCAACTTGCAACAAAAGCAGCGTTTATTTCACAGGTTTTTTGAGTCTAAAGTGATTGCTGAAGAAAACATTTTTTTCGAGAATTTACTTTTGGCTAAGCAACATTTATATCTGTTTGACAGCGACTTGTACTATGCTTTCAAAGAGAACGAAATTCTCAATACGTGGCTGCAGCCTTTTTTCTACCAACTGATGAGCCCTGTGTTTGCCGATCTATGGAAAAACTACATGATCAATTTAACGATTATTTCTAAATCGTTCGACATACCAGTATCAAATTTGGTAGTAATTTCAGCGGTAATTTATATTGTGTTATTTCATTCTTGTTTTTGTATGAATGCCCAGTTCAATTGTAGTACTTATTCCGATAAAATTAACTCAAATTTATTTAATATATTATATATACATAACGACAACCCAATTAAAGTTATAGAAAATTCAGACGAACGCCCCCAAACTGCCGATACGAAGACGAATTATGATCTCGTCACAGATAAAGTGATAAACAATTTATGCACTTATTTTGAAAAGCAACTTCTATTCGATCCAAGTCGTATGAAAAACTTATATTCAACGAACAAAGATAAACATTTTGAGTGTGTAATAAATTTATTTAATTCCAAAAGTATTGAAACGTTTAATCAGCAAAATAATTGCATAAAAAACATTTTGTTAAGTGTATTACTACAGTATTTCAACAAATCTGCCTTTATAAGATCAATTAAGTATCCTAACCAAGTGAAGCAAATTTTATAGTATGAAACTTAGAACTTTTATTTTTATCTGAGAGCAAGATTGGGACGTCATATTTAAAGAATTACAACAAAAGACATGAACGTTAGTAACTTATTCCTCAAAGGTAAGCAACCGTAAAAATGTATTTGCAGCGTTCAATGAACAATTGTTTGAAGGCTTTAAAATTTTAAATATTAACGAATTAACAGGTTCATGGATCGAAACTAATAAGCCAGAGGAAAAAATCAAAGAAATACTAAACAAATTGGGTATTTCGGGAATAAAACGCCGTTATATTCTCAAAACAAACAACAAAGTCGTGCTGGCATTTCAGGAAATTCCCAATCATAAAGAAAAAAATATCAAACTGTACGATGAGACTGAGACGGGATCGACAACCGACGATGTAGACATTAGTTCTGCAACACTCAGTAACTTTTTTTCCCCGAAAAACATCAACGAGCAGCAGCAAATCTGCTACATCAAGCAATATTTCCCGATGAAAAAAACGCTCGAGCTACAATTTCAAACGGGCCTCTCTGACCCAATCGACTGCGAAGATGACTATATCGGGGTTTGGTCTTGTCACTCAGTTATCATCAATAACATATTGTTTTGCCGTAGATACTCACAAAAGATGCAACTCATCGCTTATGAAATTCGCTGTTGCATCTCTACGCCAGAAGAGCTCAAAAAATTTACGAATAGTCCTAAAGTGCAGTTCTTCCATTGGTTGATAGAGGACAACACAAAGAAAAACTCGGATCTAGAATGCACTTTTTACTTAGTGCCTGAATCATCTGCTGCTTAATCCATGAACTAATTTATTTTTCTGTATTTTTCAATCATTTTTCAACTATTATTTTTTATATTTGCACAGTAATCATTTAACACTTAATAAAACTTTTTAGATATCTTATCGTAAAAGACGTGATTGATACCCTGAGCTGGGCAGGGCGGCTTTGGAAGCGATTTAGCGGGACAAATCTGCACGTCTTGTCCTCTGTATACATCTCTAAAGGTTGTTGTACCGTGGAGCGAATCGACCCGAGCGGACAGATCGTCAAAATTTTCAACCCTGGTAATAGGCGGTCTGGGTGCAGGAACGTGTCCGCTATATACAGATCTGAACGTCGACTCTGGCTGCGGACCGGTTTCCGGTATTGAAAACCCTACTCCGTGAACCGCGTTTTCATATGCTGTGTTAAAATCGTGGTTGTGTTTGTTTGTGTCGGGTATGAATCCTTTGTACGCTTTGTTAAAAGAAGATTCACCTTCGAATCTATAATCTTTCTCTGGAGTTGGGCATGCGTGGCGTCCACAAACACAATATTCATGGATACACTTTCCAGGTTGACCTGACGGAGATTCTAATCTGTGCTTCTCATCGAGCGTTGTGAAGACGCTATTTGAGGAGTAAACAGGGTGTAAACTAACAGTGGTTCTCGCCTCAGAAACTTACTCGTCAAAAGAAGAATTTAAGTTACACATATGAAAGAATTATTAATGCATGTAATATCGCATGAATAAACCTAAATAAATTTAATTAGTGAACGAACATAATTTTTGACCAGTAACCATTTTATTGCCGAAGAATTAATGTTAGTCCAAAATTTATGCTAAAAATAAATTTAAAAAATTTTAACGCTTCTATGAATGAAATAAAGACCAAATCCATCACAATTCGAGCTGCAGAGGGACGAGTACACTGCGTAAAAATAAACGAGGACGGAGACTTGCTTTTCACAGGAGGTTCAACCGCTTATTTGACTGCGTGGGAAGTTAAAACCGGGAAGAGACTCGGCACTTACATTGTCGCTCCCAACAACCCGTTTAGCCAGCAAGCGGCTCTTGACAGTTTGATCAATCCACCTACAGCTGCAATTAAATATATCGACGTTAAAAGAGATTCGTCAGAAGTCGCAATAACTCACAGTTACAGTATAATTATTTTCGAAGTGCTCACTGGTGCAGTGTTGGATTATATTCCTTACGTCACTAACATAAACGACATTGAGTTCAACCAGTCTCCAATCAAGATCGACAAATTTCTGGTTGGTGTTAGTGCGAGAGTGCGTAACAGTGCGGACCAGGTGCCGGAAGTTTGTATGTGGCAATGTTCAGATCTACATCCTGAAAATTACGGCAAAAGCAACCGCGATTGGAAATTAGTTAAAAACTACTCCACTGAAGGCGAAATACCTGCTGTAGTTCGTTGGGGACCACTTGACCAGCTTGTTATTTGTGGTACTGAACACGGTACTATCTTCATGTGGGATATCGAAGGAAATATCGTCCACAAGCTCAAAGCACACTCTGACGAAATAACAGATATCTCTTTCAACAAAGACCGCTCGGTAATGCTCACCGTGTCGAGAGATAAGACTGCCAAGCTTTGGAACACAGTGGAATTACGTCTAATTAAAACCTATGTTACTGATCGTCCGCTAAATACTGGTTGCATCTCTCCTGACTTCGATAAAACAGACGACGATAGACGTTTCCATATTATACTGGCTGGAGGTCAAGACGCCAAGGAAGTAACAACGTCAAGTACAGACCAAGGATTTTTCGAAACACTTATATTGGATCTAATTTCAGGACAAGAACTTGCTAGAATCACTGCGCACTTCTCACCCATATTAACGCTGAGATACTTGATGAACGGTAAAGGCTTCGTGACCGGCTCTTACGAAGGCAACTGTAAGATCATCGAATTACCAAACAGTTTTTTCGCTGGTGAACTCGTTATATAATGCAGTCAATAAAACTAATATTCTCTATGTAAATAAATCACTTTTGTAAAATAGCCAAGTCATTATGAATTCATATCTAAATAAACACAAATTTATCCACATTTTCCACCTCCGCAGCTGCCTGACTTGACCCAAGAAACACCAGAAGATTTCTCCACGTCTAGTATGTGGAAACTTTCCGCGTCTGTTGGGTGAATGCAAATCAGGTTGTCGAAGTCCTGCTTCGTCACACCTTTGCTAAGAGCAAGTGCATACCCATGAGTCGTTTCACCCGCATTGAAGGCCACGCAGTGAAATCCTAGTACTTTTCCGTTTCTCTTGTCGATCACGAGTTTACTAAGGTTTTCCGGTTCCATTTCTTCGTCATATTCGTCAGATCTGCATTCTTCAAACTTGGGCCATTTCGTTGCAGAAGAAAGCACCCCTTTAAATTCCGAAAGATAAACTTGGACATTCTCTTTTCCAATCACTTCACAAGCCATTTCCTCTGAGAAACCAACACACCCGTATTCGATGGGTGTAAACACAACGGTTGGAACTAAAGAATAATTCATAAGTATGTTAGAGTCGTTAAAGAGTCGTCGGGCCAACGTTTCTCCAGCTTTTATTGCTGTTGGTGTCAACTCTGGCCGTCCGTGTGCACAGTCACCAATAGCAAAAATGTTTGGGTTAGATGTACTATCATCACTATTGACGCGGATTTTGTTTACTTCTCCGCCGGAAACATCTACGTGTGCTTTTTTCAAGTTAAGTTTTTCGAGCTGAGCTCTGCGTCCAGCTGCATATAACACGGTGTCGTAAATTTCTTTTGAACCATCTGAGAATTCTACCATTAATTTTTCATTTTCAAGTTTATCTATTTTAACGGGGAGCACTTTCATCAAGAAAGTACAGCCGAGCTGCTGCATTATCGAACCTAATTTTTCAGCACATTGCCTGTCAAAACCGCGTAGTAATACAGATCTTACTGAAATTGTAACGTCATAACCGAGTTCCATTAAAAATCCAGCACATTCTAATGCTATGTAAGAACCACCTACAACTAAAGTTTTGCCTGGAGGAGTTTTGGTCCAAAATAAGTCGTCACTTGTAATTGCGTATTTCAAAGCACCTTTGATGTTTTTTGGAATGAAAGGGCGACCCCCCACGGCAACTAATGCATACTTGAAACGAACGTAAAAAATTTCATCTTTCTTTTGATATATTATTGTGTTTTCGTCATAAAACGAAGCTAAAGCGTTGACGTAAGTAACTCCTGCGTTTCGTAATCCGTTACGATATGAAAAATTCAAGCTTTTAATGTAGTTGGTAATAGTCTCGCGGCAACGCAACCAATTGAATGAAACAGACTCGAATGACCAACCTAGAGCATAAGCAGATAAACGATTTGCAAGTCCTATTTTGGCTGAGTTGTGGAATAATATTTTTGGTATACAACCTACATTCACACAAGTACCACCCAAACCCCATTTTGTTCCCTGTGTAGATTCAGTAACATAATCAAATAATATTACTTTTGCGTTAAGCAAGCTGGCTTCTTTTGCAGCAGCAAGCCCACCACTTCCACCGCCAATGACAACAAAGTCATACTCTGATATATTGTTTTGTTCATTCATTATAAGCAAACTTTGAGGTATAATCCAAAAATTAGTCTAATTAGAAAATTAAATGTATAATAAAGTTATTTTAAGGTATTTATTAAATACTCTTTAAATTTCTGCAAAACATAGTTTTCACGTTCGGAATCTGTTTCGTCTTCATTTTGTTTATCAATTGCAGCTTTGTATTTTAGTATCAACTGTTTTTTCGCTTCCAACCGTTGTTTTTGTAAAGCATTGAATCTGATTGTCTTTTGTTTTTTTTGTATTGCTAGTTGTTCTCGTCTCATCTTCAAGTTCAAGTTATGTTTCAACAAGAGTTCGCTTTTTTTATTATCAATTACTTTATTTTGCTTTGAAAGTTCGAACAAAGCGTCACATTCTTGTCTATTTTTTGAATCTAATAGTAAATTGTATGAATTAATAAGCACAAGAAATTCTTTGTTCTCGCTCTTTTCGAGTTTATCTGGATGACAAAGCAAAGCTTTTTTTCTGAATGCTTTTCGAATGTCTTTGTCAGAATACTGCTTTAAAACACTAGGTATGCTGAGATTTAACGCTTTATATGCAGCAGTGGCATCTTCTAGTGTAATTTTTTTCATCGTTTTTTAGAGTATTCGCGGGACATTGGCTATTTTACTAGCTTGATATATTTAGTATGATTATTTCTTTTAGTGCAATATTTAAATTGGAAATAAAAAAATCTCGACTCAATCTAAATCTAGTTTTTGGCCTTCCATAATTTCCCAGATGTCAATCACTTCTTGAGTAGCTTTTTCAAAATGACTCATCGGGTCTAAACTATTTGTGACGTAAATGTTATCCTGTTTAGTGGCGCTGGTTACTTCGTACAAATCCGTTATATAAACAAATTGTTGCTCAATGTCTTCCAAGAACGACAGCGGAATTTTGAGTTCTTCCAAAGGATTTTCAGTTTCAACAATCGAGCTTATGATGCTCAAATATTTACCTTCCGGACAAACCCCAAATTCGCTACCTAGCACAACAAGATAAACGTCATTTTTTCTTTTTAGTTGTTTTTGTGAGAAGATAATTTGACAAGAACTACTGTTGTTCGTTTCCTTAATACTATGATTTAAAATATTGATTACTCGAATAACTTTTTGAGTTTTTTTCATTGGGATATTCTTGTCGATATAATGAACATAGTTAGGTGAACATATCAACTTGTCACAAGTAATCAGCTGTCCATTGTTAAATTTGACTCCTTTAATTTTCTCATTTTCGTCTGTAACAATCTTATTAATTTCTGCTCTTAATACAAAAGTTCCACCATGTACGGCACAAAGCCTCGAAAATCCTTCTGGTAAAGTAGAAAGACCGTATAAAGGATAAATAAACGGAGATTTTCCATATTTTAATACTGACCTCATATACAACGTCAATTTTGGAATAATTACACCGCAAGGTTTGTTCAAATATTCGTCGTTGTACTCCAACGCTACGGCGTGACCTAAAAAATCTCTAATATTTGAATTCAAATTATATTTGTTGTAGACGTATTTCATCAAATCTGATTTCGGATTAAAACCTCCAAACGTGGCAGGGTCTTCTGCTCTCCAATTAGCAATCAAACGAAAAAAGTTTCTTCCTCTCAACTTCTCGGTTAAAGGTATTAATCCACTACTCAATATCTCTGTTTCAGAAGAAGGAATCCGGTGTATGGAATTTTTAAATCCTAACCAGGAACTGGTTGGCTGGTAAACAAACGCGTCATTTACAACACTAAATTGGATATAATCTTTTACTTTAGTTTTTAGTAAAATTTTAACAAGTTTACCATTGGACATGATAAATTTGGGAATTAGGTCAATGTTCCAATCTCGATTATTACCCCATTTTGCAACGTCGTACTCGATTGATTTATTAAATTTTTTTATCATGCTATTCAAAGACAATGAGGCAGCTTCACCACCGTAGTAATCATTAATATCTAATTGCAATACTTTTTTTCCATTCGAGGAAATCAAACCACCCAATATAGCTTCTTTAAAACTAGTTCCACAAATTATTACGTCATAATGACTATTCATTTTCTGAAAACTTTAATTTGACGGTTATTTACTCAGAATAATTTTAGTTCGAATATACTCTAAAAATATCAAAATATAAACCCTTATAATCAGTTAATATTTTGAATTATTTATATATTAATCGAACTAAGCTGACAGGTTTGTCTCATGAATCAATATGACAGTTTAATGGAAAAAAGTGTATGCAATGATCCATCGGCGTACAATGTTCCATATCTGCTAGATTGTCTTGAAGAACTAAAAAAATGCAACAATGCAAATGAAATCGAACTATTCAAAAACAGCTTGAAAAAATATCTTAAAAACCAATCTCAATCAAAAAATGCAGCTGTAAACAATAAAATCGCCGAAGAATTTTTGGCAAAAGTAGATTCAAATTCGAACATCAACTACAGTAATGTTCTAGATTTCGTCTGCAGCATTGAAAACGCTTTCAATATGAAAAGCTTGTTACATTTTGTCATTAAACGCGTTAACGAAAATTACATCACGAGTAAGTGCGGCCAGTATACGATTCTGCTCACTAGTTACATACTTAGTTACAACTACAAAAACATAGCTAGTTCTCAAGATAAAGCTGAAAACCAAAGTTTATTAGAGAATTATACAGTTGCGGTTATAAACATAGTTCAAGCTTTGATTGAATTGAAGCTTAGTTTAGACGTAATTGTTGGATTTTGTGCAAATGTCAAGTCGATTTTTGCATCCTCACCGAAATTCAAAACACTTATCGACCAATATATCTCGCAAGACAAATTTGTTGAAATTATTCCGTTATTATTTAGTGTACGAGATGAACCAATATTAGCAGTTTGCATGAATAAGCACCACTTATCGAAGAAATTTGTTAAGCTATTGAAAAACGTTGAGTTCGAGAAAAAACGCTTATTACATGGGATACTGGCATATTATTTTGCTATTACTCAAGAAGACTTGAACGAAGGCGAATTTATTGATGAGAGTGACCAAGCTTCGATATTACTCGCGTTGTTTACGATTGTGAAAGAATCAAAAGAAGAAATAATAAATAAACTACTCAAAATTGACCCAGCCTTACTAATAAAATCATTTAATGAACAGAATCTATCATATATTTTGCAAGACTCAAGATTTAAAAAGCACTTAGTCGGGAACGATGCTATCAAGCCTTATAATATTGATAAATATTCTTACTTTCATCAATACAATCTCGACAAAACAAATATTGTTATTCTTAAAGATTATGTTTATCAGTTACCGTACAATTTGTTGACATTTTACAGTTTGTTAGCGGGTAAAGAAGATGAGATCCTGCAGGTTCCTTTAGATCAAGGTGACTACGAGTTTACTTACAAAGAATTGACAGAATTAAATGAGTTGGTCAAAAACTATTTTGACACAGCGGTCGATTCGATTAAAAAAGAATCTTCTAAAAACCTTTTGAACTTACGCAATACGCTGATTAATTCAGACAAAATACATGAAATAATCACCTCCATTAATAACGAGGTAAACAAAAACAAAAACATCGATTTTTATAATATCTACAGCTGTTTCTTAAATTTGTTATTATGCGTCAACCACATAACAGGCGGTATTTTAATTCAGTGCAATACTTTTTACACGTGCAATAAAATTATGGAAGAAATCTTGAAAAACAAATCAGTATTCACCAACAAAGAAAAAAACCAATATCTCATTGAAAAGCGCTTTGGATATTGTGCAGCCAATTTAGCCATCACAATGTGTCGTCTAACCCTGTCTATTAACCCTGGCTTTTTAAAATATGAACAGGTTCATTACATCATAGATTACGCTACTCCTTTACTAAAACTAGAACGAACTGAGGCGATAACATATGCATTAGTATGCTTAACTAATTTGGCCACTTTGAACGACGCAATAGCGGAAAAAATAGTAAACAAAACACTTGAGACCATTCTGGCAGCGTACGAGTTTTTCGAGGACGAAAAACTCATTCTCTACAACTTAGAACTTATGTGTAATCTTGCTCGCTACGGATACTTCGCGCAAGCGCTGTATAAAATAATTAAACATAACGATTTCAGATACTTTTTTTTAATTCCTTTGGGCTTTTCAGACCAAAAAGTTCAAACAACAGCCGCCGTCTTATATAAACGCATCGCGCAAAATTCCGATATCATAGACTACTTAATAATGACAAAATATGAAGAGCTACCATTGGTAATTCATCTCATCAGCAATTTGAATACACTGATCGCCAATTCTAACACTTCTGCAGCGATATCAATGGCTAATTTTGTCGTCAGCTTCATTATTTATACGATCCGTCAAAACGCGTATGAACACTTGCAACAAATCGTTCTAGCTATGTCACTCATTTTGTCAATAAAAAATCCCAGCGTAAACAGCACGTTCGCCAATCAGCTCAAAATAAACAACTGTTCCAACACATTGCTAAACTTTATTAAGACCATGCATATACCAAACGAACACATTAAGATATGGATAGAAGCATTTACAGAATGATAACTACGAAAATGTCTGAACTTGGATTGGACCCATATTCGATGGCTTACGAAAAGAGACACCATAAATTCATTTTTTCTATTGGATTCGTTTTGAAGATATTAAGAATGGTACACAATATCTCTTCGATACAATCCGAACAAATTGAAGAGTTTCTCCCGATACTTACTAATTCTCAAAAATAAAAATTAAAAGAAAAAAAAAAAAAATGGCCGTTTGGACAAATAAATTCAGAGTATTTCGAATTTAGCGGATTTTTACTTTCTGCTTTCAATTCGTTAAACATGCATGGGTAGAATCAAACGAGTTCGTAAAATTCAAAAAATACTTAAAAAAACTGATGCCAGAGTAAGCGATAATCCTAGTAATTTTGTTGGGCAAAATGTACCGGTAAAAAAACTAACAAAAGAGGAACAACAAAAGAAAGCCGGTGTTGTGTACACTGAAGAAACACCTGCTTGTTTGTTTTTCAACGCAAACTTGAACCTAGGACCTCCTTACCATGTTTTGCTCGATACTAACTTCATCAATTTTACCATTCAAAATAAAATTGATCTTTTTCGCGGACTTGTTGACTGCTTTTTGGCGAAATGTATACCCACAATCTCTGACTGTGTCGTGGGCGAGCTTGAAAAGATGGGCCACCGTTATCGAATGGCTCTGCGTATTGCAAAAGATCCTCGTATAAAACGCTTGACTTGTGATCATAAAGGCACGTATGCAGATGACTGCATTGTCCAAAGAGTTACGCAACATCGCTGTTACATAGTTGCAACAAATGATAAAGAGCTTAAACAACGAATCAGAAAAATTCCAGGTGTACCTTTAGTATCGATTCAAAATCGTCAATACAAACTTGAACGTTTGCCCGATGTAGCTTTATAAAAATTTTAGAAAAATCAAATTTATATTTTATTTTTATTTGTTTGGCGTAGTCTCTGCTTATCACGACGCACAGTGAACGATGAGTTTGCAGTCTTTCAAGCCAATGCACAACTATCTTTTAGTTAAGCCGTTAAATGTTAAGAAATCGTTATTTCTGATTAACGACAGTGATGACTCAGAACGCTTCCAGCTAGCAGAAGTAAGTAAAATCGAAAAATTACTTTAGGTTGTCAAAACTTCTCACCAGATTACCGATATAAAACCCGGCAATAAGGTTTTAGTTCCTACTGAGGACTTGAAATTATTTATAAAGTTTGAAAAAAATGAAAAAAGTGTATTATTATCCTACAACGACATTCTAGGCAAATTCGATTAACAAGTAGGCAAGCTCAACATTTAAAAAAAGAACAGTCGAATTTTTGTTTCTGTTTTTTTGTGTATTTCTCTCGGCAAAATATATGTTCATTTTTTTTCATAGAAATAAAAAATTATTTATGGAAAACTACAACCAGCGCTTTTGCAAGATCGACAAATCAAATATCCCGTTACGAGACAAGTTAAAGATCTTGTTTGTAGAAGCTATATACCGTGCTTTTCCTAAAACCATAAATGAGAAAATAAATGTTATTTTAAATCGAGTAAAAAGTGGCCCTTTCGACTACCAGTGCTCAAACGCGCTGAACATGCCAAAACAATTCCCCAAAGATGTTTTTGACACTTTGGGCTCGATGGAAATCGCGCAAAAAATAGCGGATAACTTTCATAGTGACTCGGTTGAATCAGTGACTGTTCAAAAACCCGGTTTCATCTGCGTAGCATTTTCTAACTTGTATTTAATTAATGAGCTAAGGGAAAATATTATTAAACCAAAGTTGATAGAGTGTAAAACCAATAGTATTTGCAACGTACTTGTAGATTTCAGTTCTCCCAATATTGCAAAAGAAATGCACGTTGGACATCTCAGGTCTACTATTCACGGAGAATCCATCAGCCGCATGTTGGAATATATCGGGTTATCTGTAAAACGTATCAACCACATAGGTGACTGGGGAACACAGTTTGGAATCTTAATCGAATATATCATTCAAAACAAAGTTGACATTTATTCGAATAACCTGACTTTGTCAGTGTTAAACTCTTTGTATCAGTCTTCTCGCGATCTATTTGATTCGAACGACGAGTTCAAGACAAAAGCTCGTAACAGAGTCGTGTTACTGCAGCAAAAAGAAAAAGAAAGCTATACAATCTGGAAAAGACTGGTTAAATTATCCGAAATTGAATTCAAAAAAATTTACCAAAGGTTAGATATAAAACTTGAAACCTATGGAGAAAGTTTCTACCACGACATGATCGCAGACGACATTGAACGATGTAAAAAGCTGGGCATAGTAAAAATCGTTGACAACGCCACTTGTTTATTCGTAGACGACTACAAGAAATTCAAGCTTAGCGAAGTTCCGCTTATGTTGCAGAAAAGCAATGGAAGCTACGGTTACGACTCGACCGACGTTTCAACTATTTTATACAGAATAGAAAAACTGAAATGCAACTGTCTAATTTACATTACCGACATTGGTCAAAAAGACCACTTTTTACGATTGTTTCAAGCTACTAAAAAACTAGGAATCGAAAACGTCGATTTGTGGCATCTTGGTTTAGGACTGATTTGTGGCGCAGATGGAAAGAAATTCAAAACTCGCAGTGGAGAAACCGTCCGTTTAATTGACTTACTAGACGAGTCTGTAAGCAGATCCAAAGAAATTCTCAAAATCAGACGTTCCGACTTTACTCCAGAAGAACTAGAAACTGCAGCAACTTCAATAGGCCATTCTTCTGTTAAGTATTTCGATCTCAATCAGATTTGTTCCAATAATTACAACTTTGATTATGAGCGGATGCTCGATCCAAAAGGAAACACAGCTGTTTACATTTTATACACCTACGCAAGAATGAACGCTTTGTTAAAGAAATTAAATATGAAACGAGAAAATTGTGAAGTTAACTTATGTTTGAATGACATTGAACTGCAAAGCATCTATGAACGAAAGCTCGTAGTTCATCTACTAAGATTTTCAGAATATTTAGATGAAGTATTAGAAATTCTCAGCATGCACAAGCTCTGTGACTATTTATATGACTTGTGTAATCTGTACTCTTTGTTTTACGAAAACTGCAGAGTCGTAGGCTGTGATCAACAAAATTCTCGTACGATTATCACTGTTGGTTGCATGAAACTAGTCGAAACTATATGTAGCATTCTAGGCTTAAAATTACTAGAGTCTATTTAGTTTAATGTGCCTTCAGTAATAGACGCGGCTATATTTTTTCTACGCAACTGTTTGATGAAATCCGAGCTATATTTTAAAAAAGCTTTGCAACGATCCTTATGTTTAATAGCTCTTGTTACGCTAAATTGTTTAACCTATGCCTAGATATATTCTTCCGGTACGTTTTCTGGAACTCTTGGCTGAACAGGTGATTTTTTTGCATATTGCTGTACTAGGTCAACCTTTTTGTTAGCATAATTGGGTTTTAAAAACTGGCTTTCCTGATGCATGTTGTGGTAAACTTCATTATTGGAATATTTGTAAGTGTAATCATTGCAACCATATCCATCAAAGTTATTTACATTATAGTGCTCAAACTCAGGCAGTCTGTTTGCAGACTGCGCGTATGAATAGTAGTACTCATTACTCATTCCACTTGCATAGTTAGGCACTTGAATATTTTCTAGCGATATTTGGTTGTAAAATCCAGACTGGTAGCCCTTCTTAAACATATTTATTTCCTTTTGCAAATATGAATCACCTAATATCTCGCCGCAGCCTGCAATTTGCACTAACTCGGAACCAGATTTCATTAATACCTCTGACAGAATTTTACATTTGGTCACACTGTTTTTTACTATGTCTTTAATTCGAACTGTGGAAAAATTTAATTTGTCAAAAAGCCGAGGCTTTTTAAGCAACTTATCTTCTTTCACTCCTATGGCCGCCTCATTAGTGGATACTTCTTCAACTTCCTCAGTTTTTTTTATATCAGTTAATCCTTTTGCCAAATTTTCAGGAATTACTTCATCTGCTAATTTATCAACCTTAGCTTTGTTTAATTTTGAACCCCGAGTGCGCTTGTAAAAATTAACCTTTTCGTTACACGGTACCAAAGGGCGTATATCCCACGGTTTTTCGCCCAGCGTTCGAAACAAGTATTTAGATCCTACCATGTCGCTCAAAGAAGGAACAGGCTGCAACAACTCGTTCGGGAGTTTATGATTAAATATCTTATCGGTGAAAAGCTTAATTTCGTCAATTAAGTTAAATTTATTTTCGATCTCAGAACTGAGATTTTTTATTACCTTAGAGTGTTGAACTTTTTCATGTTGCTTTAAATCCGAAGCTAGTTGAGGCGTTATTTCAGAAATCTTCGCGAGTTTTATATTCAATTCCTTCAGATTATTTGTAATAGTGTCTGCTACGTGGTTTTTCAATTCTAAGTACTCGTCTTTTAAGTCGTTTAATAGCGTTGTTATTTTATCTAGCATCATGTTATAATGAACCAACAATTGCTCATAATCATTAATTATGCTGTTTATTGGACCTGAATCTTTGACGGAATACGAAGCAAGTTTCATTCCGCGTTTTAATTCGTTCACAGCTAAGTACGCGCAATTCCAGTATACATTCGCCTGATACATACGCATTTGCCGCGATTCTAAAATTTTCATTAGTATGTTTACACTGATTGCGTAATATTCAAACCAGTAAATCAAATAAGTTAAATCAGACATCAGTGTTAAAGCGTTATATAGATTTTCATCGTCACTGTGTTCTTGAAATTTAGCCACGAGTTCAGGAGCGAAAAATTTATACGAAAGAAAGCAACTCTGCAACGAATTTCTGTCGCCGCATCGTTTCACAACGATATATAGATATTTGTTGAGATTTGTTTGGTCAGCGTGTGTATTTTTTTCTTTTTCAATCTCCTCTTCATTTTCAGCGTCCAAAGACACATTCAATCGTTCCGCTTCTTCCCATTTTTCATTGCATTTTTCAATGACTTTATTAATAACTCCACTTGAATTATCCATACTTTAATTTAGGTGCATCGTTATTTCGCACCAACTCAAATCTGACCAAATATCGACAAAAAAAAAACCGCCAAGCGTAATTTTTTCTATAATAATTCTATTTGTACGATGTTAAAACTAATAATCGGTATGGATTTACTTTTTAAACTTGAAAAAACTTTTTTTGTAATCTGCGTGTTTTTGATCAATCGCTTTATTTACAAACTCGCAAGTTAAATACACTTTAACGTTAAAATAATATATATTATAACATAAGCGGAAAAGGATTGTTTCTACTTAGTATTAATTTGTTTTGCTCTAAACTTATATAACCTCGAATGTGGCCAGTGCTAATTAGATATATTAAATATTCGATCGTTTCGAATTCGTCTAATTTGTTTTCGTTAGAAAAATTGAGTGCTTTATGTATAATTGACAAATCCCAAAACACTTGGTTTGGAGATTTAGCACTAAAAATGCTTATCGTAGCTTTACACACCTTTTGAATCACCACAGTCCTTAGTTTCAAAATGCATTCTATAGTTCCATCTAAAAAATATAAATTGGCGTTTTTCTTCAAAGTTGCTTCGAATAAAGCTAGTTTTCCATTTAAAACAGCGTCAACGACGTCTTTATAATGTAAAAGGTTATGGTTTTCTAAATATTGACGTTTCAGATAATAGCCTTTGTAAAGTTTAATCACAAACAGCTTGATTAAAATGTCTCGCAGCAACGAACCATTTCTTGGCGTGCACAGAGTTAACGCTTTGTAATATTCAACCAACGCGGCGTCGTACTGATCGTCGTTCATCAATTTGCATCCTGTCAAATAAACGAAGGTAGCTGCCACGTTTCTGTACAAAACAGACGAGTATATTTCAACTGAAGAAATCTGAGACAGCAAACTATTAGCCATGTTTGTGCTTTCGGAATACAAAGCCAAACGTATACTTATTGACAGTAACGTTATGTAGACATTGAAATAACTATTGTCCAACTCTGGATTGCGGAACCTGCCGACGTGTCTTCGCAAACCGTTCAAGAGCTTTTGGAAAAACTGGCTCCGAGACTCTTTGTCGTCGATACATGCTCGTATACATTCTATAACAAACTCTGACATTTTGTTAAATACGGGGCAAAAATAACATTTCACTTGCGACTGTGCCATCGATATTGCCAGTAAATCACATAACTGCACTGTTTTATCCGTTATATCGGTCAGCAATTCGTATGACTTTGCGTTTCTCAGGTTTTGTAAATTCGCCAAGAGATAATAATCAAATAGAATCAAAATAAAACATTTTACCGCCTCTTGGACATGTTGATCCTTCATTAAGCTCACAGCTTTTTGAATATCAAGTGATTTTAAGTCCTTTAGTTGCTGCCATTGGAACGGAGAATTTTTACTAGATCCGTCAAAATCAATTATTCGTCTAGTATTAAACAACCAGTCAATATACGCCGCTAAAAATTAATTAGTTTGTCCAACTTACGGCTCTCTAATTCTATTGCCCGATTTAAATGTGAAATCCAAGCTTCCAACCCTTTCATAAATAAATTTACATCACTATATGCCTTACGTTTCCTACTCTAGCTTTTCGATGAACTGTTATGTTAGAGAACAAGAAAAATTAAGATTCACACAACAACAGGCTGACTAACTTTTCACGTTTATTACTTCGACAATTTCTTTAATTTATTTACCGAATTTATTCTATTTTTGTTGTTTTTTCGCGATTTCCGCACTGACTGAGAAAACCGCACCACAATCTGCCTATTGTCTATAATTGCATTTTGCAGTTGTTCAAATGCATATTCACAATCTTTCTTTGAAACATATTTAATGAATGCATATTGTAAACTTTCGTTTGTTTCAAGATCTTTGATAAGGTTAACATACTCGACTTCTCCATATTTAGAAAAAATCAATTGTAAATCTTCTGTCTCTGTCACAGGATTTAAGCGACAAACAAACAGTGTTTTGTCGTCAGGTGTTTCATTGCCCGGCTGAATATCTTTAAGCTTAGTTAGCAAGTTTATTCGCGACTTCGATTGTACCTCTTCCAATTTTTCGAGTAATCGAATGTTCCCCTTTTTGATCTGGTCACTCATCACTTCTGTAGAGACTATTTTCACCTCTTTCAGCGGAACAAAATCTGCGTTTGTTTTTATAGAATTGAGCGCATCGAGAGTTTTTTTGCTCGAAATACATTCGCCAAAAACAACGTGATGAGCATCCAGATTTGTAAGATCTTCATTAGTCAAAGTTATCAAAAAATTTGTTTTAGTTTTGTTTTCACTCGTACCACCCGTCGACAGTAATCCCATCTTGTCGTGTTTATAGATCGAAGCAAGCTTGTCGTCTGACGACGAGGCACCTTGTAAATATTTTATGATTGTTTCCTCGTCAAACAGCTTTTTGTCTTTAAAGACTAGATTATGTGATAAAGCACTACTTGAATTATGATTTCCTAATTCCGCTATGTAGTCTTTTTTTATAAAAAAGAAACTACTACCCGTATAATACCCGCTTTTGATAAGTTCCAAAAAATTTTTTGAAATTTCGGGACAAGCGACGTCAAACAGGCGAACATATAAACGTCCTAGTGACGTAGTTAATAGCACAATCATTTGACTATTTATTTACTAATAAAATACCAGCTATATTATTATTATAAATTATGCAATTTTCAAATTCTAGCTTCTCCAATTGTGCTAAAGCACGGCAACTAAAACTTGCGTCATAAAACTTATTTATCAACATAAGAATCTACAAATCAGTCATATAAAGCGGTAATACTAACTTACTGAGTCTAGAACTAAGACGTTTAATCTTATTTGTTACATATTCTTGGTCAACTAAGTCAAATATATTATTTTTTTTACCGGTATTGGGTTGACTTTGAAAATTACAATTTTCATCCGTCAACTTACATTCATATTGGTCTGGTAAATTTTTAACTAACTTTTTCTCGACAAAACACATTTTGTTAGCTGGCGTGTAAGTAGTTTTAGAACATGGCTGAAATGATAAACTATTTCGTTGCTCAGACGTGTTACTGTTCACGCTCGGTCGTTTGGAATGAATAATATTTATTTCGTTTCTATTGATAAAATGCTCTTGAGAAACCGATTCGGATCTGAAAATAGATTTTTTCGGACTCTCGTTACACGTGCATTGGCTAAGCTTTAGTTTTAGTTTCGCACATTCCAGTTCCAGCT